CTATAATTCTCACCTATAATTTTAAAAAAGCAGCACAATTTAGAATTTTAAACAAAACTTTCAAAAATTCGTTTTTAAATATTATAGTATTTTTTACTTATTTACACCAATAAGAAGCATAAAAATTGCAAGAGAAAATTGCTTGTTTGAAATTTTCTATTAGTTCAGATTTAAAATATTATTTTCTAAAAGAAGTATTAACAAATTTCTTTACAGCATAGGAAAAGCTAAAAACATATCCAGCCCTGAAAGCATGCAATAGTTTATAATTATTTGTAACGTTAATTATGCTTGATAAATATGCTAAATTTTTAAAAATCAATCCAATTTCAAAAATAAAAATATGTTGAAATTCTAATTTGTGAAATGAGGCGCTACAACCAGATTTTTCTGGACAATTATACAGGCTGCAATAGGCAACCACTGTTAAATTTCTGCAAATCGTCCCTACTCCTCCGGATGTGATCAAGGTGACAGCTAGGAACGCCTCAGACGAGGGAGAAAACCCATTTGGGTTAGTCTATTTTTTATTAGGTCCACGCAGCACGCAGGCTGACGTCACGAACAGCAGCGCCTCGCGCCAGTTATTGCTTCAGTTCATTTCACAACATCCTCCCCCCCCGCTTGACTGAGTCTCAAGCTCATAACAAACATTATTTAAAAGATCAAGTCATTTTGGAGCTTTTAAAAGTCGTCCAGCGGAGGAATATTGTTGCATTACCATTTTATTAGGTGCAATTCCCCCTTTTAACGTACATCCAGCACTGGAATTAGATGCCTCTGCACCCAGTTCCTTATCAGGAATTATGTTTCTGTCATTGACCTGTATCTCCAGAGGAAAGATGCGTTGTATTGGTCGTACAACTGTTCCATGCCGGGTCTTAAGTTTAACCGAACGAATCTTTCCATCACGTCCAGGGATCAATTCTGTAATTCGGGCTAAAGGCCAAAATAAACGTTTTCTGTTATCATCCCCCATCAGTTTTTGTTTCATTTCCTACTACAGGTTCCCGAGATCGTTTTTCATTATGCTTTTGAACCAGTTGACTAAGGTATTCTTTTCTAAATCGTTGTCTCAGATCATTTAACAATTTAGTTCTATACTTTAATCTCTTATTAAGACTTGACGAATTTAATTCATCAAGATCTTCAACATTGGAATTTTCTGTTCTCGATAAGAAACATGGCGGGTGTCAGAGGTACAAATTCTTGCGGATCTTCAGAAACATAAGTTAAGGGTCTAGAATTAATTATAGTTTCACAATCACAAATAATAGTATAAAGTTCTTCATATGATAACACTGATTTTCCCTAAAGTACGTTTCAGCAATTCTTTTACTGTACGAACCAACCTCTCCCACCAGCCGCCCCACCAAGCTGCAGTAGGTGGAATAAATTTCCAGATTATCCTTTCAGTTCCCGTTTCCTTTAATACTTTAGCCCAATTTAGTTTTGATAAATCATTAGATGCACCCCGAAAATTTGTCCCGTTATCACTATAGATTATTCTAGGGCGTCCGCGCCTAGCAACAAATCGTCGAAGCGCCAGAAGAAAAGCATCAGTAGAAAGAGAATTTACGAGTTCAAGGTGAATGGCACGGTACACAGCGCAGGTGAACAGCGCGATCCACACCTTTCCTCCATTTTTTAAAAACAGCGGTCCAGCCAAATCAATCCCTATGATTTCAAATGGCGCACAATCCGTAACTCGGTCTGGTGGCAGAGGTGTCGGTTCGCTTGACATAGCCTTAGTTTTAAATCTTTTACAAACGATACAGTTAAAGAGGACATTTTTAATGGCCTTTCTAGCTCTGACTATCCAAAATCTTTCTCGTAATATACATTGCATCATCTGAAGACCAGCATGACAGTTCTTATTATGCACATTTCTGATTAATAACTTAGTGAAAATCACATTTTTCTGGTAACAGTATTGGATACAGAAAAGATTCATGGTCATCTCTATTTAGTATTCTCGTTTTAACTCTTAGAATACCATCATCATCAATGAGCGTTTCAATAAAATTATAAGATTTCTTATCAGTCAGATAATAATTTTGAACCAAACGAATTAAAATTTTCTCAGAATTTTCAATTTCATACTGTGAAAGTTCAATGTTTCCATTCTTTTCAGAACCACCTTTACAATTATTTACAAATCTAAATATCCATGCAAATACTCTAATCATTTTATCATAATTGGATACACTGATTCGATGCCAAGGGGGTGCGTCTTTTGATAGATCAATATTCACTATTTTTATCTTTTTCCTCTCCAATTCTACTTCTTCATGCAAACAAATAATCTCACCAGTGGGCCAATTTTCAGGGCCTTCTCGCAACCACAAGGGGCCTTCCCACCATCTAGACCGAAGAATTTGCTTCGCAAAACATCTGCGGCAAAATTCAGTTTCCCTCGGACATGTCACCATGAATGACCTCGCGTCAACTCTCGAATCTCTTTAACCCTATTTTCGACGAAAACGGAACAACTGCCTTGCTCTGTTATCCACCAAAGGGCACTGGTGGAATCAGACCAGAAGGTAACTTTTAACTCAGGCAAACTGAGGGCCTTGATAATAGAATTTGTAAGGCTAGAACCTATACAACAGGCCATTAATTCTAAGCGAAGAATGCTTAAAGATTTCAAAGGCGATACTCTAGACTTCGCCCGTACGAGATTTATTTTTACTTCAGAATTAAATACTTGATCGAACAAAGACGCACGCTGCATACGCCCCCTTGCAAGCATCCACAAATACATGTAGTTCAGACGTGTCATTGATAAACAAGTATCGAGGCAAAGTAAACATCTTTCAAAACATTAAGTTCTTTAAACCAGTTCAAAAATATTTTTACATCATTCGGAGACAATTCATCATCCCATGCAATTTTCACTTTCCACAATTTTTGCAACAAAACAGTTTTGGAAGCAATGTAGTTGGCGTTAATAAACCAATAGGATCAAAATTTGTCTGCACAATTGCCAAAATTGTCCTCTTTGTGATTTTCGTATCACAGGTCAATGTATCTGTGCAGCACCTCAGCGTATCATTATCCAAATTCCAAATTTACCCCAAAACGGAAGTATCCCCTGAATGTTTGTCAACATTTGTACCAGCCACATTGCTTTCAAAACCGCGCAAGTTAAAACATCCATTTGACATGATTAATTTGGAATGTTCAATAAACGTAAACTGTTCATCAATACTAAAAAACACTAGATAAACAATTATCCACATAAAATGACGATTTCAATTTTTGAGCAACTTCACTATATTGACGTGGACAGTTTTCTAATAGATGCATTATAGATGCGTTCAACAAGTAGGGGCTCGAAGAAACTCCAAACACAACTCTGCAATGCCTATAAATTAATTGCCCTTCATTGCATGGGAAAAAAAATCTGAGAAAATCTCTATCTTTAGATGCGACGGATAACATTAAAAAAGCTTTTTCAATATCGGCACTAATACCTAATCGGATACATTCTAAAACGATCTATAATATCAGGTATTAATTCAATAAGATTTATTCCTTTACACAAACATTCGTTCAAAGAGAGTTTCCCTTTCTCAGATGCAGAAGCGTCAAAAACAGGACGAATTTTCGTGGTTTCACTTCCTAATTTGATTACAGGCCTATGCGGCAAATAATGACATTCATTATTCAGTTCGTTTTCTGGTACGCGTTCAATAATATTCAACCTTTCCCATTCCTTGAACACATTTTGATAATCATCGAAAAATTTACTACATCTGAGTTTATAGATCATCTTTTGATACCTTTTCCAGGATAATTCTTTATTATCGGTTAAATGTGTCGTATCACATTTCCACGGAAGTTCTACTTCATATCTTCCATCTGGAAGAATTTTCATTTTGTTCTCAAATTCAGATAAATTAAAACTTTCATTCATTTTAACAGTTTCGTTTGGAGCGCATATTCCTATTTTTTCAAGTTCCCATAACTCATTCAGAGGAATTCTCCTGACATGCATTGAAAATGTTTTCAAAATATTATCCTTTTCACCCGAATTTCGTTTTCCAAATACCGTCCACCCAAGTTTCGTTTCGACAGCCGTTACCCCGGACTGTAATTCAATAGAATTTCCCGTCAATAATTTTCCTATAACATCTGCTCCGATTAAAAGGTTAATTTCAATTTCCTTTCGCAATGGATCAGAAAATTCGATTTCTTTTCTTTTAATTCATTCAAAATCTCTTTATCCTTAACCTTAGGAATAAAACCGCAAATCCTTTTTTCCGATAATGCCTCAAAACTACATGCGAATGTTCCTTTTAAATTGCTGACCTCGACCGAAAACACTTCATGTTGTTTAGGTTTCGTTTCGTCCCCCCCCAAACAGTGCATGTATAAACTGTCTCCTCCCGAAGTGGAGATGCTTTAAGCTGACTCATCATATTTTCACTAACGTAGCTACTTTGGCTTCCGCTATCAATTATGCAGCGAATAATTTTCTCGCGACCTTGACACCGAATTCGAACGCAAAGCGTTTGCAAAAATACAGTTTCGCTTCTGCCACAGTTAGAAAGAGAACTCTCTTTTGAAACATTTATCTGATCATTATTTTTTAGCTTTTGATTACACATTACATCAAAATGATTACAACTTTTGCAAATAGAACAACTTAACTTACCTTTGAAAGGACAAAATTTACTAATGTGACTCGCTCTTTTCAGACAAGAAAAACAAGCACCTTTTTCAACAACAATTGTTGTTTTTCAGCTAAAGTCATTTTTTTTTTTTTTTTGCAGAGTAACATTTTTCACTAAAATGTTTCTTTTCACAAAAATTACAGTTTGGAACACTCTTACCTGAATTCTCAAGACTTACTAGAGCTGATGCTGTTACGGGATCATTTTGCTTTACCTGTTCGTGGTTAAAATCTTTCCTCCGATGGTTCTGTTGGGAAGCGAAACCAGTTCTTGCGAGGAGAACCATCTCTTCCCCCTTAACTTCCTGTTTTAAGAAATTCATTAAATATTTGCAAGGATCGAGTTCCCTTTAGTTTCAATGGAGTCGTGATTTCTGCTTCTTTCCCATGCCATCAGTACTTCTTCTGGTAAGCAACTTTCCACTAAGGGGGTCAAAAAATCCCCATATTTTTCTTGGGTTCTCCCCAAACTTTCCAACGCTCGCAATTTTCCTTCTAGTTCATCATACAGGGAGGGTAGATCCGTTTTTGCTCTTCCGGTTACAGCGTTCTTCATCACTAGGCTTAACAAGTCTCTCACATAGATTTGCACAAGTAAATCTTCGCGTCCAAAGCGCTCTCTTAGTTGTTCGATGGCTTTAGGATAATTAGCTGCCGTTGCCGGGAAGCTAAGGACTAGGCGTTCTGCTTTCGATTTGGGTTCCATGGCCTGCAATAGATACTGCATTTTATCTTCATCGGCGATACTTTTGTCATCGTGGATTTTCTGGAACTGACTCCAAAAAGTCAGGTAATCTTTAGCTTCACCACTGAATTTTTTAAGCTCAATTTTAGGCAATTTAAATTTCCTAGATTCGGAGTTAGTTGGAAGAGAGGAGGCTTGTATTTCCGCATCTATTTGAGCACACTGTTCTAGAAACTTATCTCGATAATTCTCCGCTTCTTGAAAATCATCACTAAATAATTTTTCTCCATCTTCAGTCTGCAAATCTTGCTGCGATATAGCACTCTGGCATACGTCAAGTCTCTGGAATTTATCACAAAGTTGACACTTCAAAATCGAAAGTATTTTTAAATCTCTTACTTCTTTAGTTAATTCACTTTCGGTTTTCCTTGAGGTTTGCGAAAACGCAATTCTAAGTCCTTTTCTTTGAGCCTTTAAAGCGATCAAATCCATCTTCAAAGTATATTAAAAATCGAAGTTCAAATTCAATAAGGGCACAAATTTTTATGATTAAGTTTATAAGGTTAATTAGTGTATTAAATTCTAATTTGTAAATTATGTCATTACCAATTCAGAAATAGGCTGATTCATGTACTTCTTTTTTACACCAACCTTTGACGACGGTATGGCAAAGGCATTTTGCTGAATCATTTTGTTGCCACTTCTCATGCTATTTGTCATTTTGTTTCTCTATAGTAATGCTAATGATTTGTTCCAGATTGAATCTGAGATGGATTTAAACGTTTTACCTTTATTTTACAATACATACATAAATAAAAATATATATAGTATGCGCAGTTATGAAAGGCATCGAATAAGCTTTCGAAATTAGTTGAAGAATTTAGAACAAATCGTTTTGTTCATCGCTTAAGGATTCAGAAATCCTGTGCAATAATTGCCTGATAACGTGCTAAAATGTGATAAGAGTTCCTTTATGCACCCTACATTAGATAAAGTAAAAAAGCAGATAAGAAATTCTAACACATTTTCCCAACTAATCATAATTAGAGAAAGAACTGTGGTTAAAAAATAGAATGTTAATAGTCTGAAATGAAGCATCAAGAAGAAAAACTCGGTACGCCGGCTTTTGCTCGAAGTATAACACTGAAAAACAAGACTTTTTTTATTAAGAAAATAAACTCATCCACAGCTGCATTATAGACTTTATCTCAAACTCGCGCTTCTGGCGATAAATTTTTCAAATAATTTATCCCTATCGGGTGTAGTATCGACTGGCAAATACGCGGGGTAATCTTTAGGCTGTCTTAACTACTTCATATATCAACTCATCTCTTAATAAACCAAGGTGGTTTATGATCCAAGCCGAAATTGCTTTTATGCTACGGTCGTGAGAAGTTGCTAAACATTGCTTTCCGAAAGATGTTCTTGGATTAAAATTGGAAGCATAGGAAACTCTGAAAATAGTGGATCCCTATTTCCTTACATTAAACCTGAAGTGTGTTATTTAAGGGCGATAGCAGCAGCTTTATAAATCAAAATCGCTAGTTTAGGAGAAAATTAAGTCAGCCAAGGTACACATGCAATTTATTCTCAAATTTGGCATAAGATGTTTATTAAGGAAACAACGCCAATTTATTAGAGGGGAATTTATAGTTATTGTAGAACTATCAGATAGGACACGAAAGAGAAAACAATTTTGTCACATTATCATGGAATAAATAGTTTGGCGCATTTTGATAAGAGTCTGGTGGGTGGGCTGTCAGTAGGATATTACTACATCTTTAAAAATTGCTAATTATGTGAAAAGGTAAAATTTGGAAGACAGACTCAGGACTATTTTGAATTTTAGTAGGAGAAGGAAATATCGTAGAATCACGTTTAAGTATTGGTGGATAAATGATAATACCGAGGTTATATATTGAATATAATTTAGAAAGTTTCAGGATAAGTAGTATACTAAAGATTTTCATAATTTCTTTTGTATTATGTAAATATTTTTATAATGATTTCCAGTTTTGGTTAAAAAGTTATCGAGGCAAAGTTTCCCTTTTAAACAAAGTATTAAAATATTAAGCACTTATTTGTAGAAATGCATTATAAAAATAAACTCTAATGTTTAAATATATTCTTAGTTTTTCGCTCAAACTTTGATCAACAGATTGATATAAAATAGAATTGTCTGAAGTTCACGAACTAATGACGCTTTTAATCTTCGTATAAAAACTTACCTGACTTAAGATTTTCATAAATAGCTATATACCGTAACTTAAAGACGTCATAACTTCGGATTACTTAAGTTTGTAGAGACAATAGGATTTTTTTTTTTGGAAGCAGGAGAGATGAAAAATTAGCAACGCCTTCGCCGGGAATCAAGCCACGGACCTCTAGAATACCTGCCCAGCGTGCAGAACCACTACACCACGAAGGCACGCTAGGAAAGTGGGAGAGATTCCTTATATACTCTCCTTTTTAAAGGGCGACTGGGGTTTTCAGGGGACCCAGTCACCAAATCCTGGGTGTGGAAAAGGTCATCCAACATCCTTTTAGTTCGCCCACCACTGTAGAGACATTAGGATTTTTTTTTGGAAGCAGGAGAGATGAAAAATTAGCAACGCCTTCGCCGGGAATCGAACCACGGACCTCTGGAATACCGGCCCAGAGTGCAGAACTACTACATCAGGAAGGCACGCTAGGAAGGTGGTAGAGATTCCTTATGATGCCTTTTTAAGCTTTATCTTGGTAACACTACAATTCCCAGTATCTCAAAGCATTTGTCTGAAAACGATGGTATCGTGATTCACGGATTTAAGACTGAAGAAATCTTAAACTTCTTTAAGTAACTCGGCCGGCTCCAAATCCCTGATAATCTATGCTTAGATTTCCCACTAGCGAGTGTGCGGTAAAATCGCTAAGCACTGGCAATTTTTCCAGATTCAAATCGCCAGGAACACGCTGGTTTCATTTGCATTTTCGTGATTTCCCACATCTATAATGTGACTACGAGCCAGTTTTCTCTGAAACGTCCTCCAAAAAGGCATCCTCTCTCTTAGACAGACAGCCATCGACTACTTTGCTATAATTTAAATAATCATAATCTATGCCAAATTTCTAAAAGTAAAATATTTTGAGAAACACAAGTTAAAACATTTTGCTTACTTATGAGTAATTGAAGTATTACAATTCATATTGAGAAATATTTCGTTTAGTGAATAAATAAAGGCTTAAATAATCACCTAAAAATAACAGTTTATATGTGCAACTGGATTAAAAACGAAATTAATTAGATGACAGTTATAATTTTATTAATGTACTTAAGACACTAATCAAAGTTTATAAATTTAATGGACTATATTAACTACTTCATTAAGCAGTTTCTTTTAGACATAATGGTAGTTAATTAAATCTAATTAATTTCCACTTCCTTATTTAAAGATACGATAAACATACTAAAAGACTTACGACAGTAAACTTTTATCGTGATTTTCTCCAATTTATTTTTACATGCTTTAAGCTTAGCTACGGCATGTAGACGACCTTTAAAAAGGAAAAAAAAAAAAAAAAAAAAAAGAAGAAATAAATAATTGCCATTTTTCGTATTCCCTAAAAACATGGATTTTAAGAAGTCATAAGCATTCCTTTCGTTGGAACTCCCTATGCAGAAATTGAAAAACCACTATCTAAAGTTAGTCTACAGTTACATTCTATTTAGGCTAGTCAATGGTATTTAAGTAATCCAAACTCGATTAATTTACTCTTCTTACTCCTTAGTTTTCTCTGTTTTGATTAATTTCTTCAGTTTCGTTTTAGACGTTTCTTTCGAAAAGGAACCACGTAAACTTTCTGCATCTTTCTAGTCCATTTTCAGTTAACCAGTGTGCGCAGATTCTTCATAAGTTTCAAGTAAGACCTGCGAGTAGACTAGAATTTTCAGTGTATCATGAAATAAATATATAAGCTGTCTCTGATAAATATCTCTTCTTTTATTCTTATCAGGTAACTATTAGGCCTGCCAAGTGATCTGCCATGAGGGGAAAAGCAATTCACCTAATGAAGGTCTGTAAGCTGAAGAGTATTATTCACAATTTTTAATGTCCTATCATTTAGATTATAATTAATGGAAGTCACTTAGAAATTTCTAAATGCTATTTAACAGCTTAGAAACTTCCCCAATGCTTTTTAAGGGATCAACATTGATCAAGACCTTTCAACATCGATCAGCATTGGCCTTTATTCAGGATATTTCTGAGGCAGAGAATGAAGTCTGTATGTTGATTCTAATTGTAAAATTAACCGTTTTACAAAAACAAATTGTGTTACTTAGGAAGCTAGGAATTTGACTGTACCTTATCAGTAACCACAGCGATATGCTAAAATAAGAAAGATATTTAAAAATGCTTCAGAATAAGAAAAGTTTCTAAAAATACATACGCAGTAATTTAAAAATTCGTTTTATAAATTTTGAAACTGATCAGTAAAAGTGTAGTGTTTGATACCACTCTCTCCTCTCTTCTTCTAGGGAGAAATGTAAGTAGATCGGCTCATGCCAAATCAGTTGTCGAGTGGTTAAGATCGCCGAATACTGGAATCGATTTTGATTCGATCTCAGGCGAACGGTTGATTGTATGGTTTTGTTACAAAACAGCTTCCTTTTATAATTCCTTCCCGAAAGCATCTCTTCTCGTCGCCAGATAGCCCCATTGGCTTTGTTATATTCAGATAATATAACCTAACTTGGCGAAAGACAGCCGCAGGGACTCACTCAAAGTTTGGACAGAAATTGTGTAATTGCACTAGCCGAAGGTATACATCTTGGTCTTTAGGAAACATGCATTTCGAAGTTAATCTGATGTAAATTTTCTAAACAATATTTCTACACCTCATATGTCCGAATGAAATTAATTTTTGAGCTCAAAAGTTTTAAAATGCCTCCTTCTTCCGTGAATTTCAAGAAATCATCAACTCGATCCACCCCAAAAGGATTCTAGCTAAAAAAGGTACTTAAAAATTTTTGCAATAGAATTAAGGACAAATAAGTGATTACT